TGCTGACTTTTGATTGGGTTTAAGGGTCTGAAAGAGGAATTTGCAAACAGAAGGAGAGGAAGAGTGGTCAGAAAGACAAACTTCACTTCTGCATTCTCAACTTGAACCTCCTCACTGGACCCCAGAGAGGGTTGGGTCAGCATGTCACCTGCATGCTCTGGCAGGACTGAGCTCCCGGCAGGCCTTGTCTCTCTCCCAGCTGTTGGTGCCCAAGGCCTCGGTGGCCAGATGCTTGCTCAGCTTTTCTGAGGGTCCATCCTGAGCTGGAACCACAGGGCTGCTCTGGGGTTCTGTCCTACAGGGGAACAAATAAAGAGGCTGAAATTGTTAGGATATGACAAGGTCTTCACGTTCATCAGACATTCAGAGACATCCTAATATGGCCCAACTTTCCTTGCAGTTAGGTTGGCACCGTGAGAGATTATCTTTGGCCACTGGTCTCTCGGTGGAAGTGACGTGTGTCATTTCCGGTTTGAGCCAGCAAGGTCTGTGTGCCTTCTCCAGCTCTCTCTCCCTCTGTTGCAGTGACCTTGGAGGTCACATACCCCGAAAGGTGAAGCTACTTGACGGAGGAGAGATGCCTGAGCCACATCGGACTTTGCATGATAGAAATAAGCCTTGGTTGGGTTGAGCCACTGGGATTTAGGGGTTTATTTGTTACTGTGGCATTGCTTATCCTATCCTATCTTGACTAAACCACAGGGAGAGGCTGGAAACCAGTGTTCCACATCCTTGCTCAAAACATTCAGTGGAGGCCAAAGCATGAGAGAATCAGTTCCAATGCCCCTTTGCCATTTCTGTCCCATTTCCCTGCCTTATCTCTGGATGGAAGAGGTGTACATAGTTGGGTTCAAACACTGTTTCCACCACTTAGTAGATAGAAGATTCCATCTCTCTGTTTTGCAGTTTCCTCAGTGATCAGATAGGGAGTAACACTAGTCCTTATATTGCTGAATGGTTATGAAAATGAGATAACATAAAGCAAACAAAACGGCCTTAAAAAGTGTCTGTTCCATTCCCCTTTGCTCCACTTTGGTGTCCTTGGCAGGTATGAGGCCACCTACCTGGGATGCAATTCCCATGAAGGCCTGAAGCTCATCCCTCTGCCTCTGAGAAGAGCCCCAGACAACTCTAGGAAAACTACCTGAGTCCCACTTCCTTCTTTGGGACCCAGAAAGGAGAAGGAAGTCACCTAGGTACTCAGTCTTTGAAGACACTGCCACTCATATCTCCTGGCCCCCAACCTCAGGAGTTTGGGAGGAACAGGTGGATTTGGCATCATCCAGCGAGTGCCCCTCCCTCCTCACCCTGCCTGCAGAGTCCGGGTCAAGCACTGACCACAGGCAATAGCATTTCTCCTGCACCAAGCACCTGCAGCCAGTGCATCAAGACTGGTTTTATGACTCAGGATGAATGCATCTGATAAGCCCCCTGCTCCTTAGGGCTGCCCAGAGAGCAGGCCAAACCCAGTCAATACTGAAGGAAGGGCAGCAAAACACATCCGTCTCTGTCAGCTGCTTATCAGTGCATCTTTAGAAGCAGAGCTGAGAGATGCGGCAAGCCCAGGAGGGATGGAGACTCTTGTCGGGGCCGTCCAGCCCTCCTCACTGCCCACGCCAGGCTTCCAGAACTCCGGTGTTCCCTACACCTATCTGCTCTGCTTCTCCTACTCTGAGGGCTCCATTCCCATGCCTCCAGTCTCTTCATATGGAATTCTGTCCTGATTCTGCTCAAACAACTCAGAGCTTACAATTTCTGCCCAGTGCCCAGCAACACTTGCCTCCTGTCATACTTGACCGGGCCTAGGCTAACCTGCATCCAGGCCAGTTCTAAGTGTGGGGCTGCAGTGAAGAAGAGAGAGGTGTCCCCTGTGATAACGGAGTTTACATTCCAGACCGGGGGTGGGGAGCAGGTCTAAGCGCATACACAAGTAATAACGTGGCTTATTGGATGGCAATAAATCATGGAGAAAATGAAACAGTATTCTGTAATGGGAGGGGGTGACTGTTCTTTTGTACAGAGTATCAGGGAAGAAGGCCACTCTGGAAGTAACCGGGGGACGGGGGCTTAAAGGAATAGGAACTCACCTTGCAGTGAGTGGTGGTTTTAAAATGTGTTCACAGAGTCTTTGACAGCCCTCCCATGAAAAGATGCAACCTAATTTCCTTCCCCTTGAATACTGGCAGGGCTTAGCGATTTGCTTCTAATGACTCGAAGGCAGTGCAAGTGATAACACGTGACTTCCGAGACCAGGTCACAAAGGCGGCTTCTGCCTCGCTCCCCTTGGACTGATCACTCTGAGGGAAGCCGTCACCACGGGGTGAGAACCCTCAGGCAGCGCTATGGGGAAGCCCGCTTGCAGAACAGCCGAGGCTTCCGGCCACCAGCCATGTGCACACGCCAACTTGGAAGTGGACCCTCCAGTCCCAGTCGTGACTCATCAGATGACACTGCAGCCCGGGCTGACATCTGCGCACAGTCTCACGCGAGATGCCCAGCCAGAGTGGCCCAGCCAAATTCCTGACGGGGAGACATCAGAACTGTTTGTTGTTGTTTTAAGCTATAAGATTTGGG